AAGATCGCCTCATAGATTCTAAGCATTAGTTAAGTTGCATATTGTGAATGGGAACCCCTCATAGACTAGGTATTTGTGGAATGGTGTACAGCAAGAGGAATGTCTTGTACATTATGGGCATGGTGTGGGTGTGCATCAAGTGGGAAGCTATATCGATTCTCAATAGATTTGGATATAACCCCCAAAAAAGTGAAATTTCATTACTTTAAGCAAAATAACTAATTAGTATCATTATTGTTCCCACAGTTGAATCTGAACTCAGAGTCAGAGCTTTGTATGTACTTGTGTACCAAATCTAAAAAGCCACTTGTTTTCTTCCAGGCCTTGGTCTCACAGAAGATCAGATGCCAGGCACACAGCTCGATATTAAAAAATGGCCTGCAATGAAAGATAAATTAACAGAAGTTTTTTCCGAGAAGACGCAATCTGAATGGTGCCAAGTATTTGATGGCACTGATGCGTGTGTCACTCCAGTCTTGTCTCTAGATGAAGCTACACAAAACCCACACAACACTGCAAGAGAAGCCTTCGTTCCGAGTCATAGTGGAAAACTTGAACCCAGGCCAGCGCCTTTGTTGTCAGATACACCAGCAGTTCACCAGTCAATGCCTGATCCAGTAATTGGTCAGCATACTGAAGAAGTTCTTCGAGATGCTGACTTTACTGAGAATGAAATCAAGAGATTTATTGAGAAAGATGTTGTGGAAGTGAGTGGGAAATAGTCAACTTCAAAGAAAAGAAGTCTGTGGAATTCACAACATAGTGACCTCAAAATGAATGGTTTTACCTTATTGTCTTTGAAACAAAAGACAAGTACCCTTAGTGAAAATATTTTAAACTTTCAACACGGATGCCTATAATACAGAATCAACTATATCTGAGCAGAAGTGAATCAATGCAGATCGATATAATAGCTTTGCAACCAGAAGACACCTTTACATCACTGTATAACAGTATAAGGATATATGTAGAATAGGTGTATAAATATTGCATTTATGAAAGTCCCCACAGTCATCACCTCCTGTTCGATGTGGGTTTCATATGCTGTATGTATGTTTACATAAAATTTACATGGCGACTATGACACTTATATTCAGGAACAGTTTACATTTTTGTCAGTATTTACCATCAAACAAACCATCTCCATGAATTAAATGACCACATAGAAGAGAATTCCAGCTGAATACTTGGTGGGGAAATCAAATAATTTTATAATATAAGCTACAAGGTCTAAAGAAATGGTAAACTAATTTTTCAAACTGTTTTTCACGTGTGCCTACTTTTACACTGAACACTTTAATAGTTAATTGTGCTTGTGTCAAGTGTCAATGCTCCTTTTGATGATGATTTTCACCTGAAAGGTCATAGTTGCACATATCCTTCTACCATGAGGTTTGTACACCAGTTGGAATGAAACTGCATATCTCATGATGATTTCCACTGCATTCGGACTATTGCTTCAAATTTTAAATCTGCCCGGGAACATGTTTCTAGGGAAACACATTGTTAGGAACACATTGTTAGGGTGCTGGTTCTGTGCCTGATTTATCACCATTTGCGGGCAAGATTGCTTCTGAATCTGAGGCATCCAAATCCATTGCTATTTAGTATGCTTAAATGAGGGTAAGAAGCTTAAGAAACAGCATTTTAAGGCGTCATCGTCCTAATTTATTCCATCATTGAGTCACCCATTATTACAGAGTTGTCAGCTATTTGTAGTTAGATACACAAGAGTTCTCCGGAATACTATTCCCACAGACCAACTCTCTCAAATGCCAAACTATCCTGGACATCTGTTTGGCTAGGATTCCCATGATCTCCATGCATCTGACAGTGTCAGTGCTAACAGACTTGTCCAATGAGGGATGGGGAGATCACTCAATAGAACTTTGAGTTGAAAACGATTTAGCTTCAGTAGCTGCTTCCCTCCTAACATCTGTTCATTGGCGGGACATTTTCACAACTGTATCCTACTCTGCAAAAGATGGAGGCAATCACTTCCTCTCAGTGACTTGCAGGGGAGAACTTGACCTGGTGGTTCCAGCACAGGCCTTTGACCTTCAGTGCAGTCACATCAAGGGAATAACGTAAAACAGGTTTGATTGCACCAAGTGGCATATTCTAAACAGGATTGCCATGGTGTTGTTGGGACTCTAACTAGAACCCAGATGATGATATCCTTAATTCTCTAATTTCGACGTTGATGTTGCATATTTTTGTCAAAATCAGTAAAACGTGATATTTCCTATTTCTGTTGAATATCACATGCTTGATTGCTTTATCATACATATAGGTACCTAAAGTAATATCAATGGGAGACCTCGATGTCTTTGATTAACCAATTGTGGTTGATCCAGGCATAGACCTATTAACACATTGCTTACTGACGTTGTTTATTCCTTTCTATTATATTTGGAAGCTATTGACAGGCAATGTGTTAATGTTTCTACTTGTGGGCGAACTTCAGTCATTACCTTATGGCAGTCCCGCAAAAGTCATCCTCATACGTGGAATACTTCATACCAGATCCCCTGGTCTTTAACTCCATACACATTAATTCATTATGTTCTTTTATGCCTCAGCTAGTCGATTTTCTGCACTATGTGGCCAATACATGACAGGTGAGAAAACGCCCTCGACAGTGAGCGACATCAAGATTGCAGTTAAGGCCCGTATTAAGGGTTTGTCGCACACTTGCAAACTGTAAGCAGCAGCATTTGTTGCTAATTAGCCAGCCAAGAAAGATGTTGTTTACTCCACTTGGCCAAACGATGCAGCTAGCTTCCTGCTTTATCTGTTTGTGACAAGCTCACTGCATTTCAGGTGAACACAAGCACTTTATGAACTAACCACTCCTTCAGGACAAAGAATCTGAGGTCCCGTGAACTAGCTGTCCCAAATTATATTCTTCGTATGGATTGTTGATTTCTCCAGACACTGAGACTGTGCTATGTCTGAACGTTTTACTATCAGAAACATACTCACGCCCACATGGTGATGTTCACCTGACACTCATTTCCAAAAGGGCCTTGATGGTGTTCCATGATGGAGTAACTGCTAGTCATGCCTGCCCATACTATCAGTGACGTGGCATCTACCTCTCCAGATTAACTATTTCAAATATGTGTTACTGTTATTGCACAGATGAAAAAAATGATCTCACATTCTAGGAATTAGTGTTGCCCTACCCACTGTCGAAGATGTGGTGCTTCCTGCATGGTTTTGCTGATAGTTATTCAACACTACATAA